GGGGGGGGGGGGGGGGGGGGGCTTTAAATCTTGGTACTTTAAATCCGCTGCTTGTCACTGAAGTGCTGTCTACACCAAATTAGATATACTGGTCACTAGCGTCCTGACGTGGCATTTTCGATTATCCAGGTGGCTTTGATTTCTTTGGTGTAAAGGGCATTGTTATGCTTGGTGGTTTTGTGCTGCTAACATTGTTTTGTTAGCCCACTGGTGCACAGGGCTCTGTCTGGTGTCTCAGCTGTGCCGTAAAACTGATATTTTTTTTTCCGGTAAGTTGATAACTCGAGAATTTGGGAAGCTACAAGGCTGAGATTTTACGAGGATTTTCCCCGTCCAAGTAGGTGTTAATGAGCTCAAATCCAGCCCCGCATAAGCGAGGTACCCATGTATGGCTTCGTGAAAGTTTTTTCTCAGTATATTACTAATTCAGATGCCAGGAAAGCTTGAAAGCTAATATTTTAATGGGGTGTTTCCTGACCGTTCTGGTGGCCAGTCTTTATTTTGCTATAAGCATTTGCTGGGAAAGCCGGCCCAAATAAAATGCGGAGAACTGTGCAAAAAAAGCATTTTCGCACGGGCAGCCCGTGCGCTGGCGAATTATTTTTTTTTTTGACTTGGCTGGACCCTTTCTTTTCTTTGAAGACTTATTTGTACTTGAATACTAGAAACGGCTATCTTTTCCCATGGGTAGTCGACAATCGTGTTGCCCACTTCGGCCTTGGGCTATTTGCTTCCAAATTAGGAAAGATACTCGAATAAATGATTTGTTCGACGCATCGACGGTCTTTGAGTTGTTACTGCGGTTACTTTCATTAATAACTAGTATTTTGCAACCTGCTGAAACACATCATTTCTTTACATCGTCAATTATGCTAATTTGGAGGTGTAGTAAATCGAAAACGAGATGCTTCTGCAGCGCAGCAGATTTCTTAATCAATTTTAACAGCTAGGAAAATGCAAACTTGCTCAACTGTGGCGAAAAAGCAAACGACTTCGCAAGGGCTTGCAAAGCTCACGTGCAGCAAATGGCTTGACCTGGTGTTTTAGGTTTTGGCGGGCAAACGAATGAATATGCCAGAAGCTCCGGAGGGTATTCCTGCGCTTATTGAACATTGCTGGGAGCAAGATCCTTTAAACCGCTGGTCCATGGCTGAAGTAAGCTTTGTTATTAACATATGTTCAGTTTAATAACTGCATTAACACTAATTTCAAGACAAAAAAAGCCCTTCCGAATCCAGCCTAAGCTTTTGGTTTCCCTGGCTTTTGGAAGATAAATGATACTTAATTTTTTAGCACCTTGCAAATATTATGATTAGCATATCGGGCTATAATTTTCTGGTCTTTAAACAGTTATACATGAATAACTAAAGCACAGACATGTATACACTATATACACAAGCATGTAACTGATTATCCTTTTATGCGTCAAAACGATTTTCGACCAAATCTAGGCTGCTTTAATTTTTGCCGTTCAGCTAAGGTTGTGCTGGAAACCAAGAGCTCTCCAATGCTTGTAACCTTCGCAACGTACCAACCTCGATGTCGAAGCTTTTGAAAAGGGAATTAATGCCTATGGCATTTTATTTTGCAATCTTGTTTCAAGAACTGAAACCACCGGACGTCGCGTATCACTCTGCTCGCAGGAAGACGGTTGGCTGGTGGAATACGCTGAATAAAAACAGATATACACTTGAGGTTCCCTAAAGTGCCTGGCATAAATCAGTCCGGTACACAGAACTATTCTACCAATATACATTCCTGAAGGGCATAGTACAGTGGGGGCCAGTATTACTGCTATGCAAAAGAACATTGGTGCAACTCCGAAGCTCAGTCCCTCTACAGTTCGTACATTTGTTTTTGGCACTGACGTTTATACTCCGTTTTTTCTGATGAATAATAGTTGCAGGCTGTGAACTATCTCGAACAAATAGTAAAGAAACCGAGCCAGCTAGTGTCGGCGCCAACACCCTCGCCAACGCCTTCGCCAGCACCAATGCCTCCGACGGTATCACCGCCAGTGCCAATGCCTCCAGTACCCCTTACGCCTAAATCGCACAGGAGATCCTCAAAGGCACGCACTCGAAGCCCACCAAAATCGGTAGCCCGCATTAAAAGGTCGAGGTTGAAAAGCAAATTCAAGAAAAAGAAGTAAAATCGGATTGTGTCTGCTCGATGCATATACTTTGCCTGTTTCTCTGCTTACGCCTTGTAATATTGCTTATTGTAATCAGTCATAAAAATAAACAATTCTTACAAAGGCATTGCTGGGCACATGAAAATTACACGTTTCGGCGACTTTTTACGCTTCATGTTTTCAACGGCCCAACACATTGAGTATCATCAGCATAGTGTATTAAACGCGTAAAAGTAAACAACCAGCGAGAGGACGGCAGGGGAAGAGGGCAACATTTGGAAAAGTCGCAGACATAACTGAATAGAGATAGGTTCACTTTTTTTAATTTTTATGCGTTTTGTACTGCACCAATTGCATATTGTCGAGATCCTGTGTGTGTGTGTGTGTTTGTGTCTGTGTGTCCCGAGTGTATTTTATCTGGGAAATTGGAGAAGCCAGGAAGCTGGAGTTTTAAAGAAGGCGGCAAGGTGCGCCTCACGCTTGCCTCAATTTCACGTACGGACACGCGAATGTTTCGGCGCCAAAATTATTAACTTGGGAACTAGGAAAGCCTGGGAGCATGCTAATCGTTAATGGCAGTTTCTTGAACTGCTGCGTATGGGCACTTTTTTTGAAAAAACCTATTTGGCACTGATTCCAAACAACGATAGCTTTTATGCGAGTATTTAGGATAAATTTGCTCAAATGCGAACACTAAAATGAGCACGTGTCAGACCCTCCTTTCATAAATAATAAATAGCACCGTGCGCAAAGATACCTAATGAGATCATATGTTCTGTACAGTTCTGTTCAGCGAAAACAAAAAAATTGTTTTTGCGTTGAAGGACAGCGCATGGACCTAAAATATTTTCAGTGTATAAATAGTTATAAATATACTGTACGCTAGTGCGCGCCGTTATTTATTCTTTTGTTCGTGCGCCCAGGTTTGTTTTAATTTACTTTTTTTTTGTAGTGCTTTGTTTTCTCGTTCTCTTCACTTGCCTTGAGTCCTCGCTCCTCTTCTTTACTCTCTCCTCAAATTCTACCTGCAAAGCAACATTTGAGCCCCTCGCCATCTCCACTGTAGGAGCAGTCTGGAAGCAAGCAATATTTCAGCCCTTTCCTCACCCCACGTATCCGTGGCAAAAACCAGCAGCACACTTCCTCCTCATTCCCATTCATCACCCCCATCCCCCTCCCCTGCCCTCGGTTCTACACCATTTAACCACTCAATCCATCCATCCAAACCTCCCCTCGTGCCTTCAACTCTCGTGTGCGAAACCCGCACACAGCACTCCTCTCCCCCACACACACGCGGCATCCAACGTCCTTTGCACCACGCTGTAATTCAAAACAGCTGCTATTGGAAGAAAAAATTTTTCGCAAATCGTGTATGGCGCCGGCCGAGCCGAGCTAAGCTGAGGTTTAGTAATTGCCGAAATTTCAGCAGTTGCTTGCAATATTCCGTTACACGCACATTGCTTGCTTCTGCCGGTTGTTTCTCCGCTCTATTGCGGGGTTTTTACGCGGTCATTCGTTTGTCCAGATGCGGCAGCCCCTCCCTCCCTCTCCCGCCTCCCTCTTGTGTTTGTAATAAGTACTGGAAAATTTAGAATGCTACTAAATTGCTAACGAAAATAATGAAATGATGTTTATTTGTAATGATAATGAAATGATGTTTTTCTTAAAATAATGTTTATTTGTGTGCACCACAGGTGTTGCTGTTTGTGCAGCCAGATGTGCATGTAATATGTTTTGCAGCATTCTCCGGCGGCGGCGGCGGTGTTTGCGTTGGATTTGGCGAAATGCGGCAACGAGGTGGCCGTAAAGGGACATCGAAGCCCACTCCGACAACTGTATGTTACTGGTAAGCTCGATTGTTTCTGTGATCTCTGCTGTAACAAACATTTTGGAATTCGTGCCAGTGCTTTAGCAGATAGTATTTTGGAACAACAACGAGCGAAGCGAGGAAGCAAACGTGAACGCATCGCGTAGTATCAGCGGTAGCAGACATGCTTTAGTGTGTTTTTTAATCAAATTTGATTTTTTTTTTTGAAATTTTGTTTAATATTTTTTAGATTTGGTTCTTTCAAATTTGAATTAGCACTTTTTTCTTTTTCTCGAATTTGGTTCTTCCGAATTTTGTGTAGTATTTTTATGCGTTTTTTGCAGTAATGCAATGCAAAAAACGCATATTGACGAGGGGTTGTCTGTGT